TTTTATTTTATTTATTTATTTATTTTTTTTTTTTTGGGGGGGGGGGTAAGATATCTAAGATAATATAAAACCATTACTGCGCTGAAATCAGAGGGTTGGTGAAAGTATTGATATTTAGTCTGCTGACAGGGGATGCGTTGGGTGAGATAAAATGTTGTAATGGGAACAATTCCTATTTTCTGGCGCATTGGCAATAGTTACATATATTATTATTATCATTATTATTATACCTCACTGTGACTGTTAAAATATGACTGTTATAACTACATTAATTATTACTTTCTTGGTACGTTGACCGTTTAAAATAAAGACTGACCGACTTTCCAAATTTATCTAGCACAATAGATTGAACATAATAATCTTTTTCTCTGATAGTCGATTAGTTCTGTGTCGTATATTTAATAGGATTGACCTCGATATTAACGCAGTACGTTTATTGTATGTTGGACTCATGCCAAGACTGTATCGGTAGGCAAAAAAGTGTTCTCCTTTATGTATGTGTGCGTGTGGGGGGGGGGGGGGATTCAGAAAAAAAAAGATGACAAATGCAACTTGGACTGATCATAACTGGGTTGTTAAAAAAAAAAGAGTTAAAGGAAAACTGTATATGAAGTATGAGGGTTTAGCCGACCATGGATGTGGGGTTTATGGTAATTGATTTAGCATAGGCCATGCAGAACCAAAAACCTAACCTCCTTGTCGAAAGAAGAATAATAAAAGCTATAAGAAACAATAATAATATTCCTCAGGGAGCAGAGATTGCCCCAGTATGTATTCACCATGCGTCTAGCTGTATATCGCACTATCCCGCACTATATTTCACATAATTGTACAAACCAATTACCTTTTATTGCAAATANTTTTTTTTGGGGGGGGGGGTAAGATATCTAAGATAATATAAAACCATTACTGCGCTGAAATCAGAGGGTTGGTGAAAGTATTGATATTTAGTCTGCTGACAGGGGATGCGTTGGGTGAGATAAAATGTTGTAATGGGAGCAATTCCTATTTTCTGGCGCATTGGCAATAGTTACATATATTATTATTATCATTATTATTATACCTCACTGTGACTGTTAAAATATGACTGTTATAACTACATTAATTATTACTTTCTTGGTACGTTGACCGTTTAAAATAAAGACTGACCGACTTTCCAAATTTATCTAGCACAATAGATTGAACATAATAATCTTTTTCTCTGATAGTCGATTAGTTCTGTGTCGTATATTTAATAGGATTGACCTCGATATTAACGCAGTACGTTTATTGTATGTTGGACTCATGCCAAGACTGTATCGGTAGGCAAAAAAGTGTTCTCCTTTATGTATGTGTGCGTGTGGGGGGGGGGGGGGATTCAGAAAAAAAAAGATGACAAATGCAACTTGGACTGATCATAACTGGGTTGTTAAAAAAAAAAGAGTTAAAGGAAAACTGTATATGAAGTATGAGGGTTTAGCCGACCATGGATGTGGGGTTTATGGTAATTGATTTAGCATAGGCCATGCAGAACCAAAAACCTAACCTCCTTGTCGAAAGAAGAATAATAAAAGCTATAAGAAACAATAATAATATTCCTCAGGGAGCAGAGATTGCCCCAGTATGTATTCACCATGCGTCTAGCTGTATATCGCACTATCCCGCACTATATTTCACATAATTGTACAAACCAATTACCTTTTATTGCAAATAAACGTTATTATAAAGGATACTTTAAGGGTTTCTTAGCATCCAGATGACGAAAATGAGGTCTTTCCTGCATGTAATTATTTAATAATTCAACTACCTTAATGGTGATTTAAAACAATAAAAATCTCCTCGAAAACATTAAATATTGGCCTTTATATTTCTCATTTCTATCTTGAGTAAAAGGAACTCAAACCTTTTATCGTCACATTAACGCCCTAATACGTTTGGGTGAGATAGGGATCGGTATGAGTCGTAACTTCAACACTGAGCAAGATTTTATCACAAATATTGGCATATTTGATAAAGAGTGTATGAGCTTCAATCCCATGCCGTCATTTTTATACACGTTTTGTTATGGGGCTATTAGTCCCAAACAACATATTTTCATTAACCAAATGCGTTCTTTATCAACGATAAAATCCGAACAAAGGCATTTGGGAAAAATCCCTGGCTGGATTTTGGAGTACTAAATTGTGTCATTACACTGGCGGTAAAATGATGTTCGTGGGTGCTCAAGTAAAGGAGACATTTAAGAAATCGTTTTTTACACTCAAATTCCGATTATGACGTCACTCGTAAGATGACGTGTTTGTAAATGTTAATTAATTTAGTCAATGAACACTAAAGATATACCTGTTATTCAACAGATTGTATGTAACAGATTGTATGCAAACGATTGTATGTAAGTCAGGAAATGAGGAGTTTCTGGCACACGCTACAGAAATCGAAGGTGAGGGGTCAAGACCCCCCACCCCCCGACCCCCTCTAAAATCGCCACTGGGTTAGGCTACACTGTAAGCCTCTCCTAACCCTAACCCCACCCCACCTAATAGCCTCGGTTCCTTCGCCTTTGTGAAGTTAGTACTTATTCCCCCGCAAGTTCAGAAATCACAGCAAGCTGACAACTAGTTTATTTGGATTCTCGGGAAATGATGTAATATCTGAGGTATTTATCTAAGTTATACTATTTGAGATACTATTTTGAGTTTACTGTTAAATTTTT